CCCCCCGGCCCCGGGGTGGGTCCGGCCTCATCTGCGTCCCTGCGGTCCGTCTGCTCCTCTGCCCCCAGGAGGCGGTGGGGAGCTCGGCGCCCCACGCGGAGCAGAGGAGACGCCACTTCGCGCTGCCCCAGAGCCGGCCACGGGCCGGCCCAGGCAAGGGCAAGCAGGGAGGCCAGGGCAGGCCTGGGCGCCATGCGGAGAAGCCCCCGTCTCCGCAGAGATTCTAGGGGACGGGCTGGGGCTTCCACACCCCTGCGAGACGCACACGGAGCCAGAAACGGACACAAATCGACACGTTCTACAAGCGCCGCACGTGACTCGAGCGCCTGGAGCCGCCGTGGCTGCCAGTGGCCACGCCGTGGCCGACGCTTGGCCCTGCCCGGCCCCTCACTTCTGGAGTCTGTGGGGTCAGGCCACGTCCCCAGCAGGACGCAACGTCACAAAAGTGGACAACTGCCCGAGTCCACTTCAGGGCCGCACAACTCCAATCGAAATGCTGATGGTCACCCGTGGAACGCGGCCAGCCGGTCTGGATGCGAAGAAAAGCAGAGTGCAAGCCCCGCGGGTCGCTGGAGACGCCAGGGAGGGTGTCCAGGCAGCCTGGCAGAGGGCTGGGGCAGGGGTCCGGCATGCCCACGGGCCACGAGACAGAGCCCCTGAGGGCGCGGCTGGCGTCGGTGGACAGGCCACCTGGACGGGCCTGCTCTCCCGCACAGCTCGCGGCAGGCCGGTGGCCCGGGGAGAGGCTGCGGGGTCTGCCGCTGCCCGGGGCTCCCCAGGCCCACCAGCCCCACACACACCACAGAACACTCTGTGCCTCCCAGTAAACTTGGGGTGCACTTCGTGAACCTCACTGTCCGATGTCCTGAGGGTCTGCAGCATGCACACAGGCACACACAGGTGCTCACACAGACAAGGCGCTCACAGGCGCACACGGGCGCACACACGGGCGCTCACAGGCGCTCACACGGGTGCTCACAGGCGCTCACACGGGCACTCACAGGCGCTCACACAGGCGCTCACACGGGCGCTCACAGGCACTCACAGGCGCACACACAGGCGCTCACAGGCGCTCACGGGCGCACACACGGGCGCTCACAGGCGCTCACACGGGTGCTCACAGGCGCTCACACGGGCGCTCACAGGTGCTCACACGGGCACTCACAGGCACTCACAGGCGCACACACAGGCGCTCACAGGCGCTCACAGGCGCTCACAGGCGCACACACGGGCGCTCACAGGCGCTCACAGGCGCACACACGGGCGCTCACAGGTGCTCACAGG